GGCGTGAACGGGGGGGGGGGAAAGAAAGAAAAACGAACGAAACAACGTTTTCCGGGACGTTACGCTGTTCGGCGTGGGAGAAGCACGATATTATTATTTTCCGCGTGAATCGAAGCACGGGGAGCGAGAGAGAAACGGGGAGCATAGAGAAAGAGAGAGGAGATAACGTGGGAAAAAGATAGGAAACAAACGAGAATGCGGTAGATCGCGATCTTAAAAGATTTTATTACGATTTAGGCTTAATGTGTTCAACGAGAAGGTAAATTTGAACGAAACCAACGGGCGAGGGTGAAGCGAAAGAAGATATTCGAGAGTCGAAGCGAGGAGATGGAATTGGAAGGGAGAAAAGAGGGGAAAAAATACGAGTTCAAAGAGCTGCGAACGAAATTGCGAGGAAGAATTAGCGGCAAGGGGACGAGGGAGGGTAGGGGGATGAGAGATTAGGGGGAGAGTGTGCAAGAGAGAGAGAGAGAGAGAGACAGAGAGAGAAAGAGAGAGAGAGAGAAAGAGACATCGAGCGAAAGAGAGGGAGAGAGAGCGAGCGAGAAAGAGAGCGAGAATGCAGAGGATGGGGCATGTGAACAGGCGAGAATGTGGAAGAGATTAAAATTAATATTGTATAAAAAAAAGTAGTAAGTGCCTTTCAAAGAAAAAAAAAATTAACGTGTCCCGTAGACCGTGACCACTTGTACATGATGAAAAGTCGTTCGAAATTTCGCGTCACCGGATACACCGTTTGCGACTGAAACAGAAAGACGAGGAGGGAGGGAGGGGGGAGGGGGGAGAGAGAGCGAAAAAAAACTAGATGAAGAACAAGAGACGAAGAACACGAAAAAGTAAGACAAAGTATTATTTGTGGGGACGTTGCGTAAAAACAAATTCTTACACAAGATTTCTTCTCAGCGACGCTCGTTATTATATACGTATTATAGGTGTATGCGTATAATTCTCTTCGTCTCGTCTCGGAGTCATTAACGACGCTGCGCGATTTCTAGGAAGTATTCTAAAAGAGCACCACGGTTAATAGTCGAGGATAGAATCGATGGCGGGGAAAACAACGGAATATTTTACGAGAGAACTTTTGGCTTTCCTTTTTTTATCGGACAACGCGGGGGTGTGGGAGGGGAGGGGGGGCGTGGGGAAAGTTAGGAAAAGAAAATTTTCTTCGTCGATTACGCAATGTGTCTACGAATCCTTTTGTGTGTGCGTGCCGAGCGAATGTACAGAAGAAATCAACAAGCAAAGAAAGCCGGACAAAATTTCTGTTTCGGATCTAACCCACTACCGGTAATACCCTGAATGGCATATTCTCGTAAACGTTTCTTTTGATTCGCTTGTACGAGAGGGATATATTAGAGGGCGAGAGAACGTGCGCGAGAATGCTGAACCCGAGCGAAAGGCGGGGAGAAAATCGGAGCGAGAACGGGCGCGAGAATGAGAGAGACCGAGAGAACGTGGATGCGCGAGAGTGAACGAGAAGATGACGAACGAGAGATCGAACGCGGATGAACGTTAAAAACGCAGGAGGAGAGGCAAGAAGCGTATGACTTGAATCAGCAGAGGGAACGGATATTTCGAGATACTTTCGTTTACGCATTTTGATATATATCTGTGAACCAGATGACGATGACGATGATGATGATGATGACGATGATGACGATGATGATGATGACGATGATGACGATGATGATGATGATGATGATGATTGATGATGATGATGAAGAAAAAGAAAAAGAACAAAGATACTTATATTACATACATAAGGTGTAAGTGAACAAAAAAAAGCATCTAATACGCTATTATTGATATAGGACACAAAGTAAAGTAAATATATATATGAGACAAAAAAAAAGTATATATATACATAAATTGATATATTGACGCTATATAAGGTTTCTGCTGGACGCGTTTTACTTTTGTGGGAAGAGGAGGGAGAAGAGGTGTGACGCGCAGTTTTTCCGTTCAAACGTCGTCGAGGACGAAACAAAAGTTCACGCGAAGGAGAGATTAAGTTAGACAAAAGTGTAAGGACCCTAGAGTCGAAGATAAAGTAGCTCTTAGAATTTTTATCGAGGCAACGTAAGGACGGACGGGCGTGACGCTAGTATATCACTTTTCAGAGAGGCGAACGAGAGACAGAGCGAAAGAGAGAGAGAGAGAGAGAGAGAGAGAGAGAGAGAGACTGAGAGAAAGAGCGACAGAAAGTTACAGGCGAAAGAAGCGAGTGTGTGAGAAAGCAAGAGAGGAAGAAAACCTGCCCATTTGTCCTCGTGGTTTCTGCGTTTCGCTCGCTTATCGATCGGTCTCGCGGGTTTTCCGAGCTCTCGATCCGTCTTGGGGCGGCCGGGAGTTCCGAAAAACTAGCTGCGACGCGCAAGACGTATCGAGGGCTAATGGAAATCGTCGCGAAACGGCGAACAAAGCCGACAGCTTTGCGAGCCGCGGGACGCAAATCGCGCCACCTCTGCGAATCACGTGATCGAAGGGAACCGTGAAAGGTTCTCCGCGAGCGCAACGTACCGAGCCGCGGGGTGGGGGAACACAGAGCCGCAGCCATAGAGAGCGAGCCTGCCGAAAATATTCGAACAGCCCGAACGCTCGAGAATTCCAATTCGTACTTTCTTCTGTAGCCAGAGTCACAGGAAAAGTCATTCGCTGCCCGCGCGTTCTTACGAACCAAGTGTCGCGAACCGAGCGTGAAAACCAGGCATGGGCCCCGATTGTCCCGAAATCAACAGGCCAGGATGAAAAGTCTTCTTCTATTCGGACTCTGCCGACTAGATATTGAAAGAAAATCGCTCCGGATCAAACCGCGGCACGGATTTGTTCCACGGAGCGTCGAGAGAGGGCACGCCCACTCGGGACGCGATTTGGCCCCGGCTGCGATTCGGAGCGATTTTCGTGGCCCATGACTGACGGGGAACCTCAAACTCGAGCGTCAAGGCGTTCGGATATTAACGCGGCCAATTATTTACAGAAATATTCGACGTTCGTTCCACTTCGAGAACCCGCGAGAGACAGGATCTGAAATGTATCACGCACGCGCCGAACTCTTACCTTTATTTTCGCCTTAGCTTCGAGGTGTGTAACATCCGTGCTTATAATTAACGGTCGACCGACATACACCGACATACAGCCGCACTTGATCCACGAGGAAAGGAGAGAAGGTAAAAGGTACTGGCAAAAGAATCCTCAGCAAAACTGTGTACGAAATAAAGCGATTAACGAAGCGTAGTAGAGTCCCGTATCCGCGATTTGCGACTAGTTTACAGGATTGTAACACGTAACGGCGTTCATCGGCGGAAGCCAAGGATAGGCAGAGAGAGAAAGAGAGAGAGAGAGAGAGAGAGAGAGATAAAGTGAGCGACTGTGAGAGATAGAAAGAAAGAGTGAGAGAGAGAGTGAGAGAAAGAGAGTAAGCATGAAAGAGAATTTAAAGGGACGTTACGGCAGCGGAAGAAGAAACGCGTCGTACCGTGCAGGAGGGGGAAAATCCATCCCGTGTTTTCCATTTCTCTGCCGCGGTAACGGCCGAACCAACCATTCGAGGATAAACACTAGGTGGCATCCTAATTTACAGAAACTAGTAGTCGAGCAATAGAACCGCACATTTTTCAGAAACCTGATTATTTAATCGTACACACCCGGTCGCGAGCCGATATTCAATAAATCACGATACTACGCGTAGTATCTGAAACTTGTACGGTCGATACACACGCATACAGAGACAGACACGCGCAACACAACAAACACAACACACGTGTGTACACACGATATAGAAAAAAGAAAAAAACACGAACATCGTAGACAGCGACGAAGAAGTTTGAACGGGTGCGAAAGCGATCTAACCCTGCGGTTCTCGCTGTTTCGATCCTTTCGAACCGGTCGACAACAATTTTCAATGAATCGTTAGTTTTTAGCGATCAGAATTAAGTGAAGCAATCCCTTCGGTGAATTGCGCGAATTGAAATGGAAATATTGACTTGCCGTTATGCTGGAAGCGAGAGCCGCTGGTTGCGCCGAGCCGCCGCGAAAACTTCGAATCTCGACGAGGCGAAAGATGTTGGTCGTTCAAGGTCACTCGCGCCACCTAGCCCCCACTTTATAGTCACGCCACGTGCGTGGCCGAATGGTGCGGTGGGGGATGGCCCATTCATTGGCTTGGAGCGACCAATTTGTTCGGCCTTCGCTCTCAGTCGGAGCGACGGATAATAATAGCTATATAGAGGAGAATGTATTAAAACGTTGCAGGATATACAACACAGCGGTGAAACAGAGAACAATCGCAACAAGTGCTGAAGAATTATGCGAGAGACCAGGTGACGAAAGTTATATATACATACATACGTACCACACAGAGAGACGCAGGACACACACACACACACACGGTTGGACATTCTGGGGACAGGTACATACACCGGAAATATAGGTACATACACATCATACGGTACGCGACAAACGAGACAAAAAACACACAACCGCGCGTTCACTGTAAATAGAGAAAATGCAACATTAATTATACAATACAAACGTTCATCTTTATTATCGTAACCTTGTAATATATTTATTTGTCCGCTCGTGAAGATACTTTTATCGTAGTTGAATGATAACGAGGCCTCTGTTCCGTTTGAATCTGCCGCTGAAGCGCGCCAAAGGGGCATTGGTCGCGCATAACAAGATAGAGAGAGAGAGAGAAAAAGGGAGAGAGAGAGAGAGAGAGAGAAAGAGCGAGAGAGAAAGAAAGAGAGCGAGCGAGAGAGAGAGAGAGAGGGGCGTAAACGCGTTCTCCGTTTTTGGTACGATAACAAATATTTTTGAAAACGCTTGCGAATAAAAGTCTGGAGCGCACGCGGCCTCTCCGAGCAATGCCTCGCGAGTATTAGAACGACGAAGTCCGGGAAACAGGAGGATAAAGAAAAATTCTTGCGGCCGAGGCTGATCGTAGCCGACTTCAGACCAGTTCTTACCTCGAAATTTTTAGCGAATCCGCTTATACACAAGGACGTATCAGCCTCGTTCGCGCGAATTATCCGCGAACGCGGACCACAGTATCCGTCATTGTTTCCGCCGCCTGTAATCTCGATGATCGATTCCGTTCGAAATCGTCGATAAGCGGCCTATAGAAAGACGCTCGCTGTCCAAGGACGACGACCAGCGCCGAGTTTCTTTGCAGATGGCGATAGTTTATAGTTACTATTTTCTTTCTATTTTTACGTTAAAAACGAAGTATTTCTTTTAAGTAGATAGTCAATAATTGATTGAGAAAAAAAAACCCGATACCAGGAACCCAACACGCGAATAGTTGCCCGCAAAACAGCAATTGTACGCGCCCGTGACGAATCGCGAAGCGACGTTTGCTTTTCCGTTTCATTCCGAAATACTTTTGAGGGGGGGGGACACACGTCGTCGAGGCGTTTCGATAAAATAATAGTTTTACTTTTGTAGTCACGGATGCAAAGCAAAACCTTGTCAACCATTACAAATTCCTCTTTTATTTATTACCGATTAGCATGTAAGATGACGTTCTACCGACATATGCTATTATTATAAATACACCCTATATATAGTGGAGTAAGCGTTACATTACCTACCTACCTACCTACCTACCTACCAACCTACCTACCAACCTACCTACCTACCTACCTACCTACCAACCTACCTACCAACCTACCTATCCGTGCTTGACGGGTGAACAACAGATGAATCACGCAATCATACATTTAAGTTGCTATTTGGCACGTATACCTAAGTAATATACTAACATAAACAGTATGCAATAATAAATATGAGAAATTAAACACGATCTCTCTTTCACTGACTCGTTCGATACAACACCCTCTTCCTTCGCGTGTCCCGTATCTCGCTGCACGCGATGTTCCCCCCCGACTATCGTGTCCGATTAAAAGTATGAATTACGGGGCCTCGAGGAGATAACGAATTTCCATCGGGTATACGGGAAGGAACGTGACAAGTTTCTTTCAAACGATCAGCCTTCCTGGAAACAGTATTTATTTACATCTCACAATAAATAAATGAATCGACCTCGCATCAACAACGCAATGTTAAAACTCTGCATATAATCGTATAAAGATCATAAAATTAATGGACTGACGAAAGTGTGACAAAGGCATGGAAGTTGTAAGATACGGTATATAGCTTCGTTAGTTATTTTCCTGCAAACTTAACATTCTGCTTCGATCGAATCTCTCCTGGGGGGCTTCCTGCAGAGTATTGCACCATTCGTTGGTAAACTTTTGCCGATGAAAAGTTCACGTGTTTACGCTTTCCCGCCGGTTTGTATATTGTTTCTGTTAATCTCCTGTTGCGCCGGAACCTGAGCGGACTGCGAGTTCGGTTGATTATGCTGTTGCGAAGCCACGTTGCTTTGAACATTTTGCGGTACTTGATTCGCGGCTTGATTCTGCTGTTGTTGCGCATTCGGTGCTTGGCCTTGTTGTACTAAAACTTGGCCCTGAGCTTGTTGCTGAATCGGAATCTGGCCCTGAGATTGTTGCTGAATCGGAATTTGTCCTTGAGATTGTTGCTGGATTGGAATCTGTCCTTGTGCTGGTTGCTGAACTGGAATTTGTCCTTGAGGTGGTTGCTGAACTGGAATTTGTCCTTGAGGTGGTTGCTGAACTGGCATTTGCCCGTGGGGTTGCTGAATCGGAATCTGTCCGGGTTGCAATTGCTGAGGAGGCATTTGCTGCTGTATAGGCATCTGTTGATACTGCTGGTTCAACGGTGCTTGTCCTTGGAACTGTTGTTGCTGAACCATTTGAGGATGATACATTTCAGGCATCTGTCCTTGACCTACTTGCGCCTGTGCATGATTAGGATACTGCTGTTGGTAGAATTGAGGATTCTGTTGTTGGAACTGTTGCGGATGCTGAAAGTCTTGATGAGGAACCGGTGGATGCGCGTACTGCGGCGGGAACTGAAAAGTATTCGAAACAATCATATTACAACCTGTCCATTTGAATAAATATATTTCATAATCACAAGAACAAATTTGATTTCTTTCTACACGAAAGGAATTTCTAAACAAGATTATTATTGTTAGCGCTACAATTACTTACCGGTTTGTCTTGTGCGGGTATACTACCTTGCTGAGGTGGTGGCTAACAACAGCAACAGAAAGTGCACAAGCTAATTATTGTTCATTACAACATCACAAAAAACGGAGCCAAAAAATAGGTTCGACAAGTACAGGCTGCTAAAGTAACATACAATGAAATTCTAGATTGCTATCTAAAATATTAGCTAGTATACTATCCCTAGTAGATAAATATATATATCTACTTGCAGATATTGCTCGTCGCTAGAAGTTTTACTATCAGAGTATCCTCGACATGGCTTATTATTCTATTCTTGAAACTAATTTCATTGTTAACTGATAGACTAGTTATTAAGCTATGCATGCGGTTAGCCAAACTTGTATCGTGAAAGCCTCAAAAAACTAATAAAATCATAAAATATTTGCAGTATATAAAAAAAAACTAATCGTTTCTATAATCTCTTGTATATTCTGTAGCACTTACGATTCCTTGGGCGATCATTTTTTGTATCTCGTGCTCTTTGCGTTTTCTTTCAAATTCTTCGAATTCCTCTTGCGTGAAAATCTGTCCCTCGTCCAGTCCTTGCCATCCCTCGTCCTTTTGGAATTCTGGATTCTCAGTTTGCTTCAGAAATTCTTCGTAACTAAAATAATAAGATAGAATAGAAAATCTTACGTATAACAGATGTAAATTATCTATACGAACTTTATGAGCGCATCCTTGTTGAGATCGACCTCGTTGAATACATGTTCTCTCATCCTTTCCATTTCCTCCACGCGCTTGAATAATTCCTCTTGCGAAGTTCCTTGAACGTAAAGCTTATCTAATTCTTTTAAAAATAACGCTTTGACTTCATCTTGATCCCATACTCCATTACCATCGATATCTAGAAAAATGGTTGATTTGCATTATAGAAGTTTTTCGTTTACATAATACATTAATGAATTTTACAATACCATGCATGTAGAAGAATGTTTTAGGATTGAAATCTTCAGGTTCCATGTGATCCTGTTTCTCCCATACTTCTTCCAATTGCTGTTTGCTACCTGGATGATGCACCTATAAATGCAACACCGATGTAGTTGCAGATAAACAAATCTAGAAAGAAATGATGTAAAATCTTACTTGACGTACAGGTTCATGCTTTTTATGTTTATCTTGTAATGCTTTCAATTCATCCTCGTATTTTTTTCGTTCTGCCTCATTCATATCTGTACGAAAACACGAATATAAAATATATCATAAAGAAAGTATTATTTAGAGAAATAAAGGTATGTGGAAAAGATTCAACTGATAGCATTACGTTCCAACTTCTGTTGTTCGTTGTACTTGACTTCCATTTCGTGCTTTTTGAATTCTTCTCTCCGTTTTTTATCATTCTCTGCCAAATCTTTCGAAGTCTACAACAAACAAACAACGTCTGTAAAATCCGTTTACGATTCCGTTATACGATCAATGTTACCTTTGCCATTAATTTCTTTAGGTCGTATATTTCAAATGTGCGTGAATTAGTGTGATCTATATGATCCGCCACCTTCAGGTGTTCGGTATCTAAGCCGTTTCTTAATTCGTTCTCTCTAGTCGCGAGATGTCTCAATCTTTCCAATTCCTTCCTCTTAATCTCGTCTAATCTAGTTCTAATATTATGATCCACAAATTGTAGATGGTCTGCTATTTTCCCTGTCTAATGAAAAAATGTGTTTAGACATCAAGGAAATTTGTAAGTTTCTACTTTGTATCTTTCCCTTAATAAAATGTTATAACTTTTGCTTACACGTATGTCTTCTTGCGATGCTTCTTTCACCTTCGCCCGAAATTCTGGATCGCTTTCCAATACTTGAACCACTTCCATCAAGTACCTACGGTACTCCACAAAGTCTGCCTGTGCGAACAACGTATACTGTACTTTTCTCTTCTTTTTAACCTATATAAGTTAACGCATGATTCGGATAAATACACTGATCATACCATTTCATCTGGATCTTCAATTTCATTTTCAATGTCAAGCTTTTCGTCCTTCTTCTGGTTAACAGGCGGTGCGACAACATATTGTACCACTGTACACGTTAAAGCAAGTAACAGAAAGTACTGCATTTTTATAACAAAATGCGAAGTGTTCCTCGATAGCTGAAAACATTACAGGAACAATTACAAACGTTATTATAGCGATAAACGTGTATTAAGTTTAAATGTAACGATCGGTTCGTTCTCGCTGTTTTTGGACATATTTACAGATTATCCGAAACAAATTTCCGAGAAATACGAGTCCACTTTCACCGAGAGCACCGAGAAGCAAAAAGGAGCAACAAGAAACACTTTTGCGAACAAACGTGGGAATATGATTATACAAACGTTCATTGTTGCAACATATTGAATACGTGTCAATAACTGCACAGCTGACCGGGCGATAACGATATCGGAAACACACGAAATCATTAATCATCACTTCGATTACCTTACGTGGTTGGCAGCGTCGTGAGATAGTACGATTAAAGTTAATTAGTGCCGAAAAGAAAAGTCTACGAATTGTTCAGAAATTCAGAGTCGAACAGACTGAATGAGGTCACGTACAAAAAAATACGTATACAGAGAATTCCTCTTAATATTATGGGTATACCGTTACGTCGATCGGGCTGGGTGAAAGTGGCAGTAACAAATTTTCACTGGGCGCAACAACAGAGAGGAGACTGGCCGCCGTTCTCGCTTCGAATCTAACCAATGAAAGTTCGCGGGACTTCTGGCACGAGTAAGTCTAAACTCGAGTGAATTAGCTGGCAGATAACGTTAGTCGAGGCACGAACATGACAAAATCGGAAATGGTTTTAAAAGCCGACCGCAATTATATATGTGTATTCGAACCATGTATGCGCGACTGAACGCGGTTGACGTCGACACGCGGTTTGCAAGACGTTTGTTTCCAAAACGGATACTGACGTGTATCTTCGCGGCGAGATTTTAACCGATACAGAAAAAGATCCAGGGGAGTTCCCCACTCGGCGTCACGCTGCCCGCAATAGATACATAATTCCTGACGTCACGGCTGTCGATGATGAAAAATTTTTAAAGTCCCAGGCGAGCAAACGAACGGGAACGCGGGATTAATATGGAATTATTGGTACCGGTCAGTACAGATTGGTACCGATTGCTACTGAATTATTCACGATATTCAGTCTCTCTCAGCTGCGGCTGTTCGTCGTCGGCATCGCGTACTTTCACCTTTCAGACCCGCGTCCTTCATGGTACTCCCTCTTCCTGCCAGGTGGCGCCAGAAGTGCCTACAAAACTTTTAAAAGAACGGCTACGCGTATATCGGCGTTCCGATAATTCCACACTGCGATTCCAATAACTCTATTCTACCCTAATTCCGATTTCCGAACACTCGACATGATTCCGAAAATCGTATTTCACCATTGCACGTTGATCCAGAAAGCGGTAATTTCTAGACAAAATTGAAAACACTTTTAAATAAATATTTTTCTAATATGTTAGTTGACTGTTAATCGTAAATTATTGAAGAATGTTGTATTGTTTGGGAAAGAAATAGAAAAAGGATCAGTTCTAGTGTCTAAGGAAATATAAATTATTATTATATATATTATTATAATATTATTTAAATTTAAATTATTATTATATTTATATTATATATATATATATATATATATATTATTATATATTATTATTATTATATTATAATATATATATAGAATTTATTATAATAATTATTATATTATATATATTAT